GGTCGAAAGATCAAGCTTGGTAAAACATCAAATGTTCTGAAACAACACAGATCTTTAAAAATTTATTAGTTATCACACGACGGAAGAGATTAGATTAGGTACCGTCTTATTAGTTATTAAAAAAATATAATAGTATATGGATGCATTATAGCTTTAACATTTCGGAAATAAATTCCAAGTTTTCGTGCGTTATTCATTGTGGTATATGATTTAGCTCGAAACTGAATTGAGTCGTGTAGTAGTAGTAAAAAAAACAAAATAGCACAAATTTTAAATAATAACAAACATAAAAATGTAAGTATATATAGACAGAAGTATCATTAAGCTGCCACTACAACATCTCGCAAGTCATTAAGTTTCGTAACTATAATGGCTTTATCATCATCAATATCAAATCACAAGATTTCAATAACACTAATGATTTTGCTTATCATAAACTTCTCATACCTAATTCAAACTTCTTCAGCTATGACCTATTCCAATTCCAACTCTCACTTCTCAAGATTCTCGAGCCATCGAAGCACCTCATCATCAAGAACCAAACAAGGGTTTCTCGCATCCGTCCAAGAGAGTATGAACCATGCTCTCTTGGCTCGTTCTCTCGCTTTCAATCTTACTCTTTCTCATCGTACCGCGCAAACCCACATAATCGATCCGGTCCACGACTGCCTCGAGCTACTCGACGATACACTTGAAATGCTGTCTCACATTACAAAAATGCGAGACAACATGTCAAGTAACGATGAAGAAGATGTTCATACATGGCTAAGTGCAACACTCACGAACCAAGATACTTGTGAGCAGAGCCTTCAAGAGAAATCAAACTCTTACAAAAACGGTTTCACGATGGATTTCGCCGCAAGAAACCTCTCCGGTTTGTTGACAAACTCGCTTAAGTTGTTCGTATCCGTGAGGTCAAAACGCCGGAATCTCTTGTCGGATCGTCACGAGTCTTTTCCGAGGTTTGTTCCTTCGTCGGAGGAACGGAGGCTTCTAGAAGCTTCGGTGGAAGACCTCAAGGTTGATGCGGTGGTGGCTTTAGACGGAAGTGGGACTCACAAAACCGTAGGAGAAGCTTTGTTGGCTGCGTCATTAGCGAGTAGTGGTGGCAGAACCGTAATTCACTTGAAAGCTGGGACCCATAATGAGATCATCAGGATTCCGACGAAGCAGAAGAACGTTATGTTAGTTGGTGACGGGAAGGGCAAAACGATCATTGTGGGTAGTAGGAGTAATAGAGGTGGCTACAGTACTTACCAAACAGCCACCGTCGGTAAGATTTTTCTCATAACTATTTTTAGTAATATATAAATAAATAAATATATATATATAATCATAAAAAATTTAAATTTGTAACATAAACGTTATACTGTATACTTAACTTAAATATACAATTTAAAAAAAAAAATACACTATCTATCAAACGTTTATATTGCAGTTAACTTAAATATTTTTTTCATAAAGAAAAATGAATTTAAAATATATATAACATGGAAATATAGTAGATTATAGTATATATGAATTCCCTTAAATTTAAGACGATAAATTTCCTTAAATTTAAGATGATAATTAATTACTTTTATTCTTTTAATAAATACTTATATGATTTAGTTCATCTAGTTATACTATTTTTATTATAAAAAAATTGCATAATTATTTGATTAATTTTATTAGTAAATAGATTATAAGAGATACATAATGTCGTAGTGATAAATTATTTTAAATATTCCGGCCACT